CATCACCTACTAGCATCTGAAATGAGCACAATTGTATACTTTAAGCATTCTTTGGCATTGCCTTTCTTTGGGATTGGAATGAATACTGACCTTTTCCAATCCTGTGGCCACTGCTGAGGTTTCCAAACTTGCTGCTGTATTGAGTGCAGCACTTTAACAGCATCATCTTTCAGGGTTTGAAATAGCTCAGCTGTAATTCCATCATCTCCACTCGCTTTGTCTGTAGTAATGCTTCCTAAGGCCCAGTTGACTTCATACTCCAGCGTATCTGGTTCTAGGTGAGTGATCACAGCATCGTGGTTATTCAGGTCAGTAAGACTTTTTTGTACAGTTCTTCTGTGCATTCTTGCCACCTCTTCTTAATCTCTTCTGCTTCTGTTAGGTCCATACCATTTCTGTCCTTTATTGAGCTCATCTTTGCATGAAATATTCCCTTGTGTCTCAAATTTCTTGAAGCAGTCTCTAGTCTTTCCCATTCTATTGTTTTCCTCTATTTCTTTGCATTGATCTCTGAGGAAAGCTTTCTTATATTGCTTTGCTACCCTCTGGAACCCTGCATTCAGTTGGGTATGTCTTTCCCTTTCTCCTTTGCCTTTCACTTCAGTTCTTTTCTCAGCTATTTTAAGAACAGTATGAATACTATCACTATCACGGCTGTGCTTTAAAATAAATTTCCTATATTTTAGAGATACATAGTGAAACATTTCTAGGCAAACTGTATGATTTCTGGAATTACTTTCCAAATAATATAGAAATGGTTATCAGATGGCAGTATGGATGAAATGTCATCAGCGAAATGACATTCTTAAAACTGATTGATGGGTAAATGGTTTATTATACTCTTCTGTCTACTTTTGTATTTGTGTAACATTTTCCATATTAAAATGTTCCAGTGAACAGAAAGTTGAGCAACATCATGTATCACCCACCAACTTGTACGAAATAAGCCCAACTTCCGACTTTTGAAAACTGGGGGTAAGTGTTCTTTCTGTGCCTCAGTTTGGTCGGTTTTAAAATGTGGATGTTAATAGTGTGGACCTTCACAGGGTCACCATGGAGATGGCGTGAGTTGGGGTGTGAAACATGCTACCCGTGTGCTGCGTGTAAAGCCTTCCTGGGGGCCTCAGACATAGCAGAACCCCTCCACAGACCAGGTCACTACAGGCAGAACCTGCGTGTTCATTTTCCACCTAGAACTTCTTACACTGGGGATTGCTCTGTGGAAAAAGCCCTTAGTTTTGTATACGAAAGCATTTTAGAATCAATAGTTATCTTTTCTGTTTTAAAATCAAGACTTGAATTGATTTAGTAATTAGTGACTTCTGTGACGTGTAACATTGAATATATTTTGAAAAGTATTTCAAGAAATGATATAAAACAGGGTTTAAAACTTGCTGGTAATATATTAATATAATTTTTTTTTCCTTCAGAGCAAGAGAGCTTAGATTAGTAGATCAGACTTAATTGCTTTTCATTTCTTTTGTGTGTGTGTGTGTGTGTGTGTGTGTGTGCAAAGCATAAATAGCTACATTTTTTCTCTAAACACAATTGTTGAAGGGCCACGTATGTTCTGTCCTTACCTAACACTTGAGCTGTATTCTCTGCAGTTGCATGATTAATCGTACACTGCTCTTTTCCACAGTGTTTAAATCCTGACCCGTAGCTGTTCTACAAAAGGAACTGGGAATTTGGACAGCTGCCTTTTCTAAAGAACCCGCTTTCGCTGATATGATTTTGGAGGTGGGAGGGCTGTGGGACCCAGGCGCGCGTCGTCCCTGCCACCCTCTCTCTCTGGGCCGTCTGCCTTTCCCTCTCCCGCGCCTTGGAGCGAACACCGCCACCTGGGGCACCGGTTATCATTGCATTGGTGAGAGATGACAAGCGTGCTCTCCGCAAGGCTGACCTGCGCTGTCCACTCACTGTGCCTGACGAGGAGGGCTGGGAAGATGAGTGGAGACCGAGATCTGGGGACAGCAAGTCAGGATTTGGCAGGTGGGCAGGAGCAGTGAGCGCCCGGTGCCACAGGCGAGGGCTGGGTCAGCCCGGGGAGGGTGAGTGCATTCTGACGGCAGAGCTGGGAGGGCTTCCTGGGCAAGTGGGTCAAACAGGCATGGCATCTGGTGCCGAGAAGGGAAGCAGGCATGAAAAAAGAGATAAGAAGACATGGAACATGCACAGCGTTCTCTGTGTACATCCTGAGAGAGGGTGAGATTCCATTACCTGCTGGTCTAAAATAAATAAATACTAGACTTTGCCTCTCACACCCTCCTGTGTGGGTTGCCAGCTCCCAGTTTCACTGCATAAGGAGGCCCCAGCATCAGGAGCTCGTAGGGCAGGACCCTGTGTGGAGGACCAGTGGGAGTGGACGACAGTGAGCGGCATGAAGATACTGGCGTCTCCCTGGCCCCCTCTGTCCTCCCACCTCTTGCCCACATATTTGTGAAGTCACCTCCATGTGCAGTTGCCAAGGGATTTTTCAAATGAACTGACATGTTTGTAAAACTCAGGAGGCCTGCCTGACCCCGACCCTAAGCGGACTGGTGCTGGATGGGCTGGTGCCCGGCCTGCATGTTCACGCAGCTGGACGGGCAGGTCTGGGCTCCAGCTCGAGGGCCACGTGTGAAGGTGCCCTGGTTTTGCAGGTGGGCACGCTGCTTCAGGACCGGCTCCGTGTGTACAATGGTCACACCTTCCTGGCTTCAATCACAGAGGACCCTCCCGGAATAAAAAAGCTCATTCTCTACAAAGGAAGCTGGAAACAGTTGTGTCTGCGTGTGAGCCCAGGGGCACCTCCCACGTGGGGGTCACCGCTGCATCCATGCTCTCACACCCCACAAACAACAAACGGCCGCTGAGCACTGGACCCACGGGGGTAGTGAGCGTGAGTTGTCAGGGGGAGTGGAGAGGTCAGCAGAGACGGACGGAAGAGGCCTCATCCGAGAAGGTGCTGGAGGGTCTTCCCAGGCAGAGGAGGGCGGCCAGAGAGCTCCTTCACCGGGAAGCGGGAGGGAGGAAGCCTGAGGTGCGGGGAGCACGCGAGTCCTCGTGAGACCCGCTGATTTGAGGGTCCCAGGACTGCCCCCACTGCGCTGTGGGAACTGATCTTACGGGTGACAGAGAAGGATAGAGCATGTGGGTGGGGATCATGCCAGCACAGCTGAAACCACAGGAGAGAGGGCCCGGCCACCCCGACCACGTGGCCATGGAGAGACCCAGAAGAGCAGCTTCTCTGTTTCCGTGGCGACGCCAGCCTGGTGCAGGAAGTGCACTGGCCCGGGGTCCCAGCCAGGGCCCTGGACCTGTCCTCAATGAAGCCACCGCCCGGCAGGCTGGCCGCTCTCCAGCGCCACAGCTGGACCCAGAGCAGCACCCCTGGCTGGGTCTGGTGCTCCGAGCACTGTGCAGACAGGATGCAGCACGCTGTGGCCAGGGCGAGCACACGGGCACAGCAGAGAAGCAGGCGGAGCCGAGAGGAACAGACTTCATGGGACGCCTCTGCCACGGGGCTCTGGGGGGTCTCAACTAGATGGTGCTCCAGAACACTCACGTCACGTACACACCCCACTGCATCTCACACACACACACATGCGCACATACCATGCACATGCAGATACATGAGCATGCACACATGTGTACATACACACGCACACACACATGAGCATGCACACATGCATGTGCGCACACATGCACATACGTGCATGCACACACACACAAACAGGCACACACACTGCTTTACATCCTCTTCACCTTCCCTGTCCCGACAGCCCCAGGCACGCAGGCCTCCCAGCGTCCACTCCTGGAGACACCACCTCCAGTGCCCCCCCGGCCCCACCCTACCCTCTCACAGCCATTTCTCACGTCCCCGGGACAGTACTGACCTTACCTCAGTGGGCTCGCAGGACAACCTGCTTTCCCTGTCCCGGCCACCTCATTGCACAGGGCAGGACCGTGGTCCCCAGATGGACCCCAGCCCAGTGGGGGCCCTGCCCAAGTCTGCCCACAACTCCCTCTGGGCGCCGTTCATAAGGATGCAGCCACGATCTCTTCTCACCTCATGGAGATGTGCTCTGTGGGTTTTGTGAGACTCCGTGAGGAGCCTTTTGAGAATAGCATGCAGTGATGTCACTAAAGATGTCCCGTACCCAGCACTAATATTTCAGTTCAGTTTAGTCGCTCAGTCATGTTCGACTCTTTGCAACCCCATGGACTGCAGCATTCCAGGCCTCCCTGTCCTTCACCAACTCCCAGAGTTTACTCAAACTCATGTCCATTGAGTCGGTGATGCCATCCAACCATCCCATCCTCTGTCGTCCCCTTCTCCTCCTGCTTTCAACCTTTCCTAGCATCAGGGTCTTTTCCAATGAATCAGTTCTTTGCATCAGGTGGCCAAAGTATTGGAGTACTAATATTTACTGTCTATTTAAAAACACACTTTAATCACAGAGACCTTCTTTCTCAGACTTCTCCCCTTTGTCTCAGAAATTAGTTTAGAAAATAGTCAAGCCCACAGCTCCTAGAGCATAGAGACTCGCAGTTGGGGTTACTGCCATTAGAAGGAGCTAAGAGGGTTCATATTGTATAAGAGTGACAAAGGTCATCCTTTTTCCTAATTCCCTTTGATTTTGGGGGGGGGAATTTAATTGACATTGTGATTAAATAATGGCATCTGAGTTTGCCTTCCTGCCTCCTCTCCTCCTTCCGTGTTCCTGTAGGAACATATGACGTGAGTACAGGGAGACTGTTCTCCACACTCATCTCACAATTATCTGGTTAGTGTTCCCAGAGATCTTTATATCCTAATTTTAATTTAATGAAAGTGGTAAAAGGTTTAAAATCCCCCAAAGAGCAGGGATATGAGTTTTCACCCGCAGCAACGTTCCCTGGGTGGATGGGGGCCACGCTCTCATGTAACCCCCCCTCCTGCCTCCTGACATGCGCAGAGCAGTAACAGCCATCACCTGTGTCTCCTTCCTGCAACCCGTCCCTGCCTTAGAGATTGTTCAGGCTTGCTGAGCAGAGCGCACGCTGGGAGCAGCCTGCGGGGCAGCCACGTGCCGGCGGGGCTGGCTGCGCCTCAGCGGGTCCAAACCTGCGTGTTCCTGCAAGCCCTGGGCCTCCGCCTCCTCCCGGGCGGAGCGAGATCTGGCTGCAACGCCGGAAATGGGGCTATTTTCTGGGAAATGGAAAGCTTTCCAGGTGGAAAACCTAGTCTTTCTGGGAAGAGCTACAAAGTAATGTCACCCCATATTCTGCAGGGACGCCATGGGCCTGGAAAGGCCTCTGGGACTCCACTTTCTGCATTGATCTCTGCTGTTTGCAAGTGCTGTGTTTCCTGGTAGTTGTCTTTACGTGTTCTTCAGTCCTTGTGTGAAGTCTCTCTTCTCGTTGATTTCTTCCTTTTGTTTAATATTTGGCTTTTTCTTAATGACTGCTGTGGACCAAAATAAGATGTACAACTTGAGAGTTGAGAGTTAAGTTTTATTTGGGGCAAAATGAGGACTGCATCCTGAGAGGTAGCATCTCAGATAGCTCTGAGAGACTGCTCCAAAGCGGCAGTGGGGGAAGGTTGATATAGGTTTTGGCCAAGGGGGAGTTCAGCACCATGTGAACCATGAAATGCTCATTTTACAAAAGTCTTTTCGTTGGTCATGAGGATCTGATGTCACCGTGAAGGGATTTAGTGCTCCTCTAAGATGTGAGGAGATACAAGGATTGAGATCATAAAATCTGTTCCTAAAAACATCCAACTATCTAAAGACCTGTCCCATCAGACTCCCTGGAGCACAGAGCGCCTCACTCCACCCGGAGCTCCCTCGGGGGTTATTGAAGGTCCGCAGCTATAGCAGCACGGGGTTCAGTCTCCAGAGGCAGATGGCAAGCACCTTTGTTGTTCAGTCATTGGCAGTGCTCTTGGAAATGCCAATTTTTAGTTGACACTGTGTATCATCAATTTTATATTGTTCATTTTTTTTGCTCAAAAAGCTAGTGATCACATTAACTCCAAGGATAGAGTAACAAAACAAAATCCTTGCCTGTAAGGGAAGAATGTCTTCATGTGTGTATGCTTGGCCACAAGCAACCAGATAGAAGGGCTTCCCTGGTGGTTCAGTGATCAAGAACCCACCTGCCAATGCAAGAGATGCGGTTTGGTCCCTGGGTCGGGAAGATCCCCTGGAGAAGGAAATGGCCACCCACTCTAGCATTCTTGCCTGGGAAAGTCCATGGACAGAGGAGCTTGGAGGGCTACAGTCCATGGGCCACCAAAGAGTCGGGCAAGATTTAGCGACTAAACAACAACAACAGCAGCAAAGCAGATGGAAATGTGAGAAGGGAGGCAGGAAGCGGGGAGGGGCGGAGCCGCCGCTGGAGGAGGAGCCCCTTTCGGTGCCGCCTTCGGGAGGGTCTAAGAGGAGACCCCGGGCAGTACTGCCAGGGGAGGGTGGTGCGAAGCCCTGAGGCGGGCCCACACTGAGGCACTGCAGAGACCCCTCAGCAGGCCCCTGGGGCTTCAGAAGACTGGAAGAGGAAGACAGTTTCAGGGAGGAGGCTGGAGAGATAGCAGGGCAGGAGGCAGACCACAGATGGTGCAGGGTGTGTGTGTAACACGTGTGAGAGCTCTGGCTCCTACCATGCGTGTGATGGGAATCACTGGCAGTGCTGGGAAGAGAGGTGAGGCGTCTGGACGGGCATGTTACGAGGCTCCCGGGGCTGTTGGGGGAGAGGGACTGCGGACATGGAGGGAGGGAGCGTGGGTGACCTGGCTGGAAACCTGGGAGTGGAGAGCTGATGCGGGGGGCGGGGGACGGATGAGATGCTGGTGGAGATCGGGGACGTCGGGCCACCACTGGGATGGGGGGGGGGGCTTTCCCTGGCTGCCGGGGCTGTGGGAGGACTGGGCCTGCTGCAGGTCCAGGCAGGTGCGTGGGGAGGCTAAACTGTGTCCAGCAGGGACACATCCTACACCCCGCCTCCCAAGAGAGTCTGTGGCCTGGAGTATGGATGGGCCAGGGAGCCTTTCAAGTATTCGAGTTCTCAAGTCCTGTCATTTCTGATGTGTGCCAACCCTGTGCTATGAATGCAAGAGGCCACCTCTATTGCCTGGAGCACACACATGAGGAGCAGCCCTCCCAGATGGTGACCTTGGGGGGGCCTTCTCAGCCTGTGTTGGTGACGGACATTTGACATTTAAGGGTTCTTCAAAGTTCTGATTCAGAAATCCACACTCTGGGTACTCTGGGTACTGTGTTCACTTGTGACCTGATCGTGACCTCAGAAACAAAGCAAACAGAACAAGATCACTGGCTCACCTCCTGCTACAGGCAGAGGCCTTGGGTGTCAGGATGGCAGGAATCCTCACACACACCCACACAGGCACACACTTGCACACACAGTGTGCACACAGTCACATACACATGCACACACATGCATGCACAGGCACACACTTGCACACAGTGTGCGTGCAGGTGCACACACATGCACACACATGCGTGCACAGGCACACACTTACACACAATGTGCACACAGGGGCACACACATGCACACACATGCGTGCACAGGCACACACTTTGCACACACAGTGTGCATGCAGGCACACACACATGCATGCATAGGCACACACTTGTGCACACAGTGTGCACACAGGCGTACACACATGCATACACATGCATGCACAGGCACACACTTTGCACACACATGTGTGCACAGGCACACACTTGCACACAATGTGCACACAGGGGCACACACATGCACACACATGCGTGCACAGGCACACACTTGCACACACAGTGTGCACGCAGGCACACACACGTGCACACAGGCAGGCAGGGGGGCCCTGAGTGATGTCCAGCCCCCCAAGGTGACTGCCCCACTTCTCCGTTCTCCTGGGGAGCAGGAACAGAAGCCAAAGCCTTAGCATCCTTCATTGGGAATCTGTATCTGACATAATGAATCCGACTGGATGACCAAGAGGCCAGAAATATTCTGTGTGTTCACTTGAGCTCATGTTAAGGGAATGAAGGTCTGTACTGAGGGGCCCCTGGGGTGCTGTGTCACATGCTCCTTGCCGTCTCCTCAGTCCCGAGCTGGCCTGGCAGGCGAGAGGCCTGGAGTCCTGGCCAAGCTCAGGTGGGGTTTTGGGCCATGGGAGGTCACGCTCTATTTTATTTATTAACCGCTTTTTCACAGTTTTATGTGCTCTTTGTGAACCTAGAACTTCCAGATATACAAGCTGGATTTAGAAAAGAAGGAGGAATCAGAGATCAAATTGCCAACATCCGTTGGATCATAGTAAAAGCTAGAGAATTCCAGAAAAACATCTATTTCTGTTTCATTGACTATACTAAAGCCTTTGACTGTGTGGATCACAACAAACTATTAGAAAATTCTTAAGATAGGGAATACCAGACCACCTGCCTACTGAGAAACCTGTATGCAGGTCAAGAAGCAAGTTAGAACTGGACATGGAACAACAGATGGCTTCAAAATTGGGGAAGGAGTACGTCAGGGCTGTATATTGTCACCCTGCTTATTTAACTTACATGCAGAGTATATCATGCAAAATTCTGGGCTGGATGAAGCACAAGCTGGAATCAAGATTGCCTGGAGAAATATCAATAACCTCAAATATGCAGATGACACCACTCTAATGGCAGAAAGCAAAGAGGAACTAAAAGTGAAAGAGAAGAGTGAAAAAGCTGGCCTAAAACTCAACATTCAGAAAACTAAGATCATGGTATCCAGTCCCATCACTTCATGGGAAATAGATGGGGAAACACTAGAAACAGTGACAAACTTTATTTTCTTGGGCTCCAAAATCACTACAGATGTTGACTGCAGCCATGCTATTAAAAGATGCATGCTCCTTGGAAGAAAAGCTATGACAAATCTAAACAGCATATTAAAAAGCAGAGATATTACTTTGCCAACCAAGGTCCGTCTAGTCAGTTTTTCAAGTAGTCATGTACGTCTGTGAGACTTGAACCATAAAAAGAGCTGAGTGTTGAAGAATTGATGCTTTGGAACTGTGGTGTTGAAGACTCTTGAGAGTCCCTTGGACTGCAAGGAGATCAATTTAAAGGAAATCAACCCTGAATATTCATTGGAAAGACTGATGCTGAAAGTGAAGCTCCAATGCTTTGGTCACCTAATGCAAAGAGCCAAGTCATTGGGAAAAAAACCCTGAGGCTAGGAAAGATTGAAGGCAGGAGGAAATGGGGACGACAGAGGATGAGATGGTTGGATGGCATCACCAGCTCAATGGACGTGAATTTAAGCAAGCTCCAGGAGATGGGGAAGGACAGGGAAGCCTGGCGTGCTGCAGTCCGTGAGGTCACAGAGTCGGACACAACTGAGCGAGTGAACAACAACAAAATGTAGTCTGCGATGTGCTTTTATCGATTTACTCAGAGAATGCCTGCGCACATGGAGAACCAATTAGGGACACGCTTCTAATTTCTTCTCTGCTTGTCTGTTCCTTTTGGGCTCGCCTCAAATGTGCCAGATGTATGATTAAAGGGCAGGCCTTCCCTTCCTGTTTATCCCTTCCCTCAGTCTGCCACATGGTGGGACTCAGGAACATCTTTTCCTGGGAATAAGTCACTGTATGTGAATGCAGAAGGCGGCACGCTCATAGTGGGAGAAATGTGGTGAAGCCAGCATAGGACGCTCACAGTGGCTGCTGTCTGCACACACAGCCTTCTCACTGGGGACACCTATCATTTCTAAGGCTAGGGTGAAGGCCACGGGTGCCTTGCAGGTGCTGGTGAGACCCTGAGTGCTGTGGGGGCAGCAGGAGGCAGTTCTGGCCAAGAGACCACAGAGGACGCGGTTCCTGCAAGTGTGCGGGGTGGGCGTCCAGGCAGAAGGCGCTGCAGGGGCAGAAGGTGGAGGCGCCCAGAAGCACAGGATTGTTCAGACGCCGCGGTGCCGGACAGAGGGGAAGGGGAAAGTGCGCCACCTGATGAAGAGCTCCGAAGGCCAGCTAAGCGGGGAGGACTCGCCAGGGTGACTGGCTTCCAGGACATCGTGGACCTGGGAAAGCACAGGGCTCGGCTTTGAACGTGGAGGTCGGTTGGGATCTCTGAGCAGCCTGCAGGTGGAAGCAGCAGAATCCAAGTGAGGAAGGAGAGTGAAGGAAAGAAAAGCCAGGTGGCCTCGGCAACGGGCCCGCGCCCGCCTGGAGCAAAGCCTCACACCGAAGTCTCACTCAGCCTCCCACGTCTGCGAAGAGATGGGGCAGGTCTCAGCACAGGCCAAGGCCACACATACAAAGTGATAAAGCCCCTGCAGAAAAGCCCGTGGCTGCTGGGTGCTGCTATGACATCCAAGTGCGTGGTGTTTTCCTAGAAACTCTTTTCCATTGTATTTTATAAAATAATTGAATTGGATTTTTTAAAGTCTTCTGCTGCACCTCCGGATGTTGTGGGAAGCACCGAGTGACGTCCCACGTGAGATCATGGTGTTGGCTCAGCAGAGCTAAGACATCGCGAAGCCCTAAAGTGGGGCCCTTCCTGATGGCAGACAACACAGTCGGTCTTGACACCTCTCCGCTAAGGTCTCAGCTCGCTCTGTAGCCGTTCCACGCTCTGTGTGAGCTGAGAAGGAGTGGAAAGGCCCTTTCTATCTGCCTTGTGGACGGATTGTTTGCGCCCCACCCCCCCACCGCGGCTTCCCTACAGGTTTATCTTCATAATTGTATTTTACTCAGGCTAATAATTAAGTCCCTGTGAATTCCTTAAACGTATCATGGCTGATTTCGAGGCAGAGGCGATGCTAACGTGTAAAGGGAAGCCTTAGTCCAGGATGGAGAGCCGCAGGGTGTCCTCCAGCCTGGACTCAGGTCAGGAGGGAAGATGGTGGTACTTTGGAAATTCATGACAAAGAGGATTTTTGGGGAGCATTTTCTGTTGTGATTTCCCAGGACCGTGGGTGCGTGCTCAGTCACTCGCACTGTGTCCGTCTCTTTGGACCATAGCCCGCCAGGGTCCTCTCCACAGGATTTTTCAGGCACGAATACAAGAGGGGGCTGCCATTCGCTCCTTCAGGGGCTTTTCTCAACCCAGAGATCAAACTCACATCTCATGTGTCTCCTGCGTTGCAGACGGATTCTTTGCCTACTGAGCCACAGGGGAAGCCCAGCTTGATCACCACTGGATCCCATTTGTCAATCTGTTATTCACCATCATGTTTCCCAAACGTAAAAAAAAAAGTGTTTAGTGTCACTGTTAAAGAGTGGTTTTTGTTATACCTCTGGCTGTTTCTCAAGTTTAAAAAAATAAGATTCATAGGCTATGTTGTTCAGTTGCTATGGCTTGGTCTAAATGTGGAAAGCTGGGCCTTAAAATGATAAATTTTGTGTTTCAACCAGAAATTTCCCCATGTTTTTCTGCTCCTTCTCTTTTCTGCTACTTCTTTCATGTGGGTAGCTGGTTGTCTTTTGTGCAAATTAACTAAACTCTAGCTCCACCCACCTTACTGGTTCTTTATGCAAAATGTATGGAAATTAAATTTTTGTGTGTCGAAGGGGGATTATATTTTCCACACTTTCATCACTACCTTTCATTCCTAGTGAACAATGACAGAAAAGCTGATCATTTGCAGCTCAGAAAATAAAGTATTTCCATCCAAAGTAGGCATCTACAGGAATGAAATATATCCTGGCTTTGGGAAAATTGGAAAATGACCTCTTTTTAAACTCTGCTCCATATCTCACAGATCTATTTCTAGTGCTTTGGAATTCCCATCCGCTATCCCCCCAACTCTCACCCCTGATTAATATTAATCAGAGGACTGAATCTGAAATGAATTTTCAAGTCAGGCCTCAGAGCAAGTATTAGATTCGTGAACTCAGAGGGAATCGAGTGAGGCGGGAGCTGCGGTGCTGTCTGAAGGCTCTGCCCTGGGTCACCCTCCCGTCTCATCTTTTCACGCCTACTTCCAGGGTGCTGTGTGTTGCACAGCCTCATCTCCTGTCTTTGCAGTTGAATCTCAGATCCCTGTGCAGGCTTCTGGGATGCACATGCCCCCGGGTGCCTCTAGCTCAGCATCTCCCGACCACAGCCAGACTCCTGCCACCAGCATCTTCTTGGGTTGAGCCCACACCGCTGGGCCATGTCTTCCCGCTCTAGCTGGCCAGGTGCCGAGCGCAGCACCCGTCTGCTCGCCCACACCCTCCCTGAAGGCCCAGCCACCTGGGGGGCGTCTACCCTCGGTTCCCCCTGCGGCCCTTGTTTCACAGTCTGGTCTGGAGCTGCATTCACTCTCACACGGCTTCCAGCATTCTTTCTAAAACAGAATGTAAAGCAGGTGCTTTAGGTCATTCTCTTGGGTTCAAACCCAGTCTGTTTGGAGGCTTTGGGAGTTCACTGACCTCTCTGACACTCTGACCCACTGGCCCACTGACACTCACTGGGGATGAGTGTTGACGTCCCCGTCTGAAATGATGGACACAATAGCTGATATGCCGGCTGCTGTGAAGATAACCAGTGTGGCAAAGCCCAGGTGCTGTTTGGCGGGGGCCACCGAGGCGCGCCAGAGGCAGCTCACGAACGGTCAGCGTGGGTGCTTCTCCCGCACAGACACTTTCTTTCCCGCACAGTTTTGCACATCAGCTGGACCTGGGGGCCACTGCTCTCCTAGCCTCACCACACGCCTTTTGTGGTGACCTCTCCTGGTTCCTAACCCCCCACCTGGGCCGCTTGCCGTCACCCTGGGGGCAGGACAGGTCTCCTGCCTAAGAAGCTCTCCCCAGACCCCTCTCTCCTCCAGCACGGCGCCCACATCCCCAGTGCCAATCCTGCACTGTCCCGAACGTCATCACTCGGAGGGCTGAGCATGTAGCCTGCAGACCGTGGCTCAGCGTCCCACCCCTCACCCACCCCACCTGCCTTTCTGGAGCACTCTTGGAGCTTCCAGATGTGACCATAAAAACCTCCGGGGTCCTAGACTTGCTCATCCTTAGTGCACAGTTGGCGGAGATATTCAGGTCTTACCATGTGAACCCATCTGGGCTCCCAACGCAGGTTCCCAGGATTCCATTATCCCTGGGATGGATTATCCCCTTGGGGAGCATTGTCACATTTTAGGAGAAGCACAGACGTTGAAGTCAGAGAGATCTGAGTTTCCAGCCTCACTCTGCTGTGCATTAACTCTGTAAGCTTCATCGAGCTCTGTGACTTTGCTGAGAATCACCTTATTAATCCATATACTGGGCACAATGCTATGACCTGCCTTGCAGGGCTGCCCAGATGATTAGATGAGACACTGCTTGTCAGGCTATTATAATTCCTGAGTCATAACAGGGTGGTTGAGGGCTGGGCCGAGTTGCTGGATGTGCAATAGGTGATGCTGTCAGCAAACCCTAGCATGACCTGGATTGGGGCATGTGTATGGCACCCCCAGAGGCTGACCCAGGCTCCAGGCCCACCCAGGATCACTGTGTGAGTCCCTCCCGGTGCGTCAGCTGATGGCCTCGCATCCTTCAACGTTTCACTCCCTTCACCGATGCCTCACTGAGGTCTCCGATCCCATCCCCTCACGTCCTTCCCACCCTTTTCATCGTCATTGTTAAAGGTTAATGCATTGGTGGCTTTCTGTGTACCGTGAACCACTCTTCATCTTTTATTCCTATTAAACTTAGTGCTTACCCTATCCTATGTGGTGTGGCCCTTCCACAATCAATATTCCACAGATAAGGAATCATCACTCAAAGGTTAAATAATTTGTTGAAGTTCACAGAGCTGCAGAGCGCAGGATCTTACAAGATGAGCTTCTTCATGTGCTGAATTTCTGCGAGTCACTTGGATCCCCTAACTGAACACAGTCACATTAGCTCAGCCTGCGTCCCCAGAGGTCATACTCTGCACCTACTGTGTACTGTGCACCTACTGTACACCCTGCACCTACTGTATACCCTGCACCTACTGTGTACTGTGCACCTACTGTGTACCATGCACCTACTGTATACCCTGCACCTACTGTATACCCTGCACCTACTGTGTACTCTGCACCTACTGTGTACTGTGCACCTACTGTACACCCTGCACCTACTGTATACCCTGCACCTACTGTATACCCTGCACCTACTGTACACTCTGAACCTACTGTATACCCTGCACCTACTGTATACCCTGCACCTACTGTACACTCTGCACCTACTGGATACCCTGCACCTACTGTACACCCTGCACCTACTGTACACCCTGCACCTACTGTATACCCTGCACCTACTGTACACCCTGCACCTACTGTATACCCTGCACCTACTGTATACCCTGCACCTACTGTACACTCTGCACCCACTGTGTACTCTGCACCTACTGTACACCCTGCACCTACTGTATACCCTGCACCTACTGTATACCCTGCACCTACTGTACACTCTGCACCTACTGTGTACTCTGCACCTACTGTACACCCTGCACCTACTGTATACCCTGCACCTACTGTGTACCATGCACCTACTGTGTACCATGCACCTACTGTATACCCTGCACCTACTGTATACCCTGCACCTACTGTACACCCTGCACCTACTGTGTACTCTGCACCTACTGGATACCCTGTGCCTTCTCTATAACCTGCACCTACTGTATATGTTGATTAGATTCTGCTTTGATTGCTATTAGATATCTTTGAAGCCTGGGGACAATATATTACTAAGATGAGAAAAGCTCCCATATAACAGATTTTCTTTGTATTAGACAGTGCACTGAGTTTATCACTTACACCATCCCATTTAACACTAATGAAAGCTTTCAAACGTAGATGTC